TAGTTTGTTATTTCTAGAAGGTATAGCAAGTTCTCATTGTTCACTGTAGTTATAAATTCTCCGGGGATACTGAATTAGTGAATATTGAACCATGTTTCTAGAGGAGATAAAGGGGTTATTACATAAATGAGCAAAATATGGCCTCTGCATATTGACCCCTACGTTGGTTATTTGTTTGCTTGTTTGTTTTTTAATGCTATGGGGGAAGGTTCTAAGCAAGCACATTCACATGTTAAAGAGAAAACACTCCCCAGTGGAAATGGGTTTGGCCACACCATAGTCTTTTTTCCTCCAGTTCTCTTATCAGGGTCCTGGGAACACATGTGTGTCAAGCATGTTTTTTGGGCCACCAGGCTTGTGACTTGAACACAGATCAGCCAAGTGGGATTCATCTTCCTCTGCAAAGCACTTAACCACTGTACTAAAAGGCCCATCCTGCTTGTTTATTTTTTTACAGCACAATGAGACCTGTTAGCTTAAAAATATGCTTGCACCAAGCTAAACTTTTGCACATCTGATTGTGTTAAATTTAATCCTGATAAGCACATTTTTAGCCATTGGGAACCTGCCTGCCTTGCAAGCCTCATGGAACTGCTTTGTGCTTAACATCTACCTAGTAGCCATAGGTAAGATCAATTCTAAGGATGTGAAAAGACCCAAAGCTGCTATTGCCCTTTAGAGCGCTTTGATCTGGAGACTCCCTGCTGGGCTGATCTAGCCGTATAAACCCCGTCTTTCTCTGACCCTCTCCCCAGGGAGATCCTTTACCCTTCTCCTGTTCTGGATAGTGGTTCCTTTACCAATTGGTGGCTTTGGCTTACCAGTAGAGTATAAAGCTAAATGTTTGCTGTTGATGAAATATATATTTAATTTAGAATTAGCATGTGCAGAGAAGCACAAGAAAGCATAGCTGTATTTTAAATGCATTACTAGAGTGCGTGAGGGAAATTAACAAAGAGTCAAGGGCTACATAGCCCCAGGTCATTGATAATCTTTTATACACTATGGAATTTGAATTTTGTTCTATAAGTAAAGGGGAAAAAGTTTTTACAGAATTACTTATTTATTTTTAATTTGCTACTGGGCACATGCACTCACCAGAGAGAGACAGAGGAGTAGGGGTGGGAGAGTGAGAAAGCAAGCCTCCAGGTCTGGGACTCAAACCACAGTTGGCCATATGGGAGTCCAGTGCCTTAATCACCATGCCACATGCTGGCTTCAGTAATGGGAATATTTTAAGCAGACTGGTAAAATATAAGTTGATGTTTCAGGGTGGATTCCCTGAGTTCATTGAACTCCTTGACAATCTATACATGGGCTTCAGGTTGCAAGAATGCTTTGAAATTTTTTTTGAGAGAGCATCTGAGGCTTTCCTTACATTCTCACACTGAGTCTGTGACACACGTACACAAAAGTTAAGAATACCTTTAGAAAGATTTCTATAGAAATTTTTAGACTAGATCAGATTTAAAACTAAAAATGCTGTCACCAAACAGGAATCTTTTGCATTAGTGTAGACAGAGGATGAGTAGCAGAGAAATGTGAGCATTTCCTTAGTTTGTTATTTCTAGAAGGTATAGCAAGTTCTCATTGTTCACTGTAGTTATAAATTCTCCGGGGATACTGAATTAGTGAATATTGAACCATGTTTCTAGAGGAGATAAAGGGGTTATTACATAAATGAGCAAAATATGGCCTCTGCATATTGACCCCTACGTTGGTTATTTGTTTGCTTGTTTGTTTTTTAATGCTATGGGGGAAGGTTCTAAGCAAGCACATTCACATGTTAAAGAGAAAACACTCCCCAGTGGAAATGGGTTTGGCCACACCATAGTCTTTTTTCCTCCAGTTCTCTTATCAGGGTCCTGGGAACACATGTGTGTCAAGCATGTTTTTTGGGCCACCAGGCTTGTGACTTGAACACAGATCAGCCAAGTGGGATTCATCTTCCTCTGCAAAGCACTTAACCACTGTACTAAAAGGCCCATCCTGCTTGTTTATTTTTTTACAGCACAATGAGACCTGTTAGCTTAAAAATATGCTTGCACCAAGCTAAACTTTTGCACATCTGATTGTGTTAAATTTAATCCTGATAAGCACATTTTTAGCCATTGGGAACCTGCCTGCCTTGCAAGCCTCATGGAACTGCTTTGTGCTTAACATCTACCTAGTAGCCATAGGTAAGATCAATTCTAAGGATGTGAAAAGACCCAAAGCTGCTATTGCCCTTTAGAGCGCTTTGATCTGGAGACTCCCTGCTGGGCTGATCTAGCCGTATAAACCCCGTCTTTCTCTGACCCTCTCCCCAGGGAGATCCTTTACCCTTCTCCTGTTCTGGATAGTGGTTCCTTTACCTTCCCCTCTGGACAATCTCATGCTGTATGGATCTTCCCTTGCCTGAAGACCTATCAAAATGTCACCCAGGGCTGTATGTGGAAAGCGGGATTCCATGTAGTAAACCGTGGTTCAAATCTCAGCCCCAACAGCTTGAAAAACATTCCAGATATATATGTATGCATGCCTGAACTCCTGACAGGGTGGAGAAATGGAGAAGAAAAGATTGTGGCATGACCACGCCCCATTGCAGGGGTGCCTACTTTCCCTTCCCCAACTCCAATGATCATACATGCTTTCTGGCAATAAAGAACTTAAAAAAAAAAAAAAAAGTCACCCAAGTAAAGCTCATGCATGCTGCCACCTCATGGTCTTAGTTTTTTTCCTTGATCATCACCTCCCCCCAATCCCTCAAAATAGCTGGTTGCCTGCATGTTTTTTTCACTTGACGAATGTATTACCTTGTTTTATGTATGAGTCTACTTAAAGGCACTTTATTTAATATATATTGTTGATTTGTTAACATTGAACCCAAAACCAACATCAATGTAACTTATGACTAAAGACGCTTATGAAACACATGTACTTTGTCTACTGGGCCCTTAAGCATTCTTGTGCTTAGCACTTAACAGCACTTAAGCCCTATATGTGGAGGCCATTTCAAGCAGCAGATCACCAAAAAAAGCATAAAAATGTAGGAAGACATGGTATAGGACAAGCTGTCCATTGGACACTTGTTCATAGTGTGATAACTGAAGCAAGAAAGCAGCCTATCACCTCATTCCACCTCAGCTGGGAAAATGCGTGAGTGAGGCTACTCCAAATTTTGACTGCTTTCAGCATATCTGTGAAACCACTCCTAGTATTAATTTTGGAGTTGCAAATAAATTTTCACAAGTAGACATTAACAAATACAGATTTCTTTGAATAATGAGGATTAACTGTATCAATCTAATCTTTTTTTTTTTAAGGGAGATTTTTGCTATAGGGTATGCACGCTCTCCAGAGAGATAGAAAGTGAGAAATCACCCCCTGGGGGGATGGCCACACTGCAATCCCTTCTCCTCCATTCTCTTCTTGGGATCTTGGGCACACATGAACATGCACCCTGTGTGAGTTTTAAGCCTCCGAGTCTGGGACTCAAACCATGGTCGACCATGTGTGATTACAGTATCTGCTGGTCCCTCAGTCTAGTCACTTTCTAAATACTTTTAACGGGGAGCCCACTCCCACATGGCAAACTTCCCTTGGTGGTTAGTTTTAGTGGTTATATTGAGTTAAAATCAGTGTCCTGTTATTTCTAAGTTATAAAATCAGTCTTTCTTGATCATTCTCCCTGAAATATGCTCTTTCAGTTCAACAGTTTTATAGTCAGCTTTATTCCTTTTTTCCCCCTTTAGCATAAAGATTCCCAATTTCTTTGGAAACTTGTGGTTTGTGAAGTACTTCAATGTTAAATAAATGGAATGTTTAATTTTGTTGCTAACACATCCTTCCCATCTGTCTTACATACCCCTTCAATAAAAACTGCACCCCTGCCATGCTGTAGTCCACAGCTTTTTTCTGAGATAACTTTAAATATACAGAAGGATGTTTCTTATTTTTCTTTGTCCCTTCCCTCCCTTTCCCAGTGTCATCCCTCTCTATATGTTAGCTTTATTCTGTAACCAAATTTTCTCTGGTTAGTGGGGAAGAAGGCTTCTGAGGGTCTCAGAGTTATATCCTCCTGGTGTACTCTGTAACTGTAGTGGAAATAGGAACTTTTGTTTATAATTTTAAAATGTTACTTCATTTATTTATTTATTTATTTTTATTTGACCAGAGAGGGAGGGAAGGAGAGAGAAAGCCACCAGGTCCAGGACTCAAGCTGTGGTCAGGCATGTGGGAGTCCAGCACCCTTAACTACCATGCCACCTATGAGCCCTGGAACTTTTTTCTTTGTGTATCCATGGATCAGTTTAGGAAAGAACTTGGGTCATGTGTCTAGCCCTGGACCAGTTGCTATCACTAGAGGGGGAAACTGATTAGTTTATGTCACCTGTAGCCAGAAAAGTAGTGGCTTGATTGATAGCCTTTCTGGTATCGATATCCCTTCTGGTATGTCAATTTCTAGAGAAGGGCAGATTCCCAGAGAAACGGGGCACTAGACATAAACAGCAAATATCAATTGTCCACATTTAACAAGTATTTTCTTTCTGCTATATTTATGGTTGGTAAGATGTTCCTTCATACTATCAGTATGACTGAAGGATTATATAGTATTCAGCTTTAAACAATGTTGGGTCAAAATTAATTTTACTTGAAATGTTGACATCTATTATTTCACAGTGTTGGGGGTACATTATATTAGTAGGTATATCATAGTGGGTACTGTTATATTTTTGTTCTTTTTATATTTTTTAAATATTTCATACTTTTAATACAAGACAAAAAATTTAATGTTGCTTTGATTTAAACTGGAAATCATTAATAGGTACTTGGGTTATAATTTCTCTTTAATATTAAGTTATCTGTAGTAATAGCGTTGTCTCTGACACAGTTTCCATGTGACATTTTAAAGGGTTATATAATAAAAGTACATTTTTTTTATGGATTTTATTTTTGGTAATATGGAAAGAAATCTTCTGTTCCCTTTTACCTTGTATCGTATGTTTATGATCCCATAGGTACCTGCAAGGTGTGGAGTTACAGTTCGAGACAGTCTAAAGAAAGCACTGATGATGAGAGGTCTAATCCCAGAGTGCTGTGCTGTGTACAGAATTCAGGATGGGTATGGTTTGTATGTGATGTAAAAATGTATTTAAAAAGAAAAAAAATTAGACCTTAAAGTGGGGTTTTATAGAATCCTTACTGAAGCATAGGAAACTGAAAAATCAACTTTAGAAAAAAATATTTAAGTTAGCCTAAAGAAATCTTATAGGCCCTTTGAGGAGTTAACATTAGGTCATTTGTGTGACTGGTGTTTGTTATTCTGATCAAATTACTTTAATTGGAGTTTGAGATTCTTGAAATTTTTGAACCATTTAGAATATGATTTATTTGAATAATGGACCCTACATGGTCTCCTATTTTTAATAGAAACTCACAGTTTCACAGTTTACCAAAATTAACATTTTATATTGAACTTTTTTTCTTTCAGAAAATGTCTAACATTGTTCCAAGACCCTCAGCTTTGAATCCTGTTTTTAGAAATCCATCTGGGGCATATTGTCCCTTGAGTCCCTTGAGAACTCTTTTTCTTTGAATTCATAGATACGTCCAAACCTGTTATTTTTTTTTTTTAATTTATTAATTTATTTTTGGAGCCCAGGAACAATCCATTTTCTGCTGTTGTAGGTCTTTTCTGGAGCTGACTTGAAGAAAAGAGTACATCTCTTTACCCTGCTGTTTGTCCAAGAGTGATACATTTATTTGGGGTAAACTTAAAAATTAATTTTTTGCCATTTAAATTTCTAACGATGGAAGACCAGGGAGCCAGATCTCCCTCACTATTACTAGCCCCACAGTAACCAATTTTCATGTCTTCAGCATGAGGTATATGAAGATTTTTAGGTCTAATAACCAAGAAAAGCTTGTGTCTACATTTTTCAGAGAGAAGAAACCAATTGGCTGGGACACTGATATTTCTTGGCTTACTGGAGAAGAATTACATGTGGAAGTGTTGGAAAATGTACCACTTACAACACATAACTTTGTATGTATCTTTACATATTTTTTCAGTGTGAAAATGTTTTTTATTTAGGGATATAAAATATGGATGAATAATTTTGAAATTGACATTTTATTTCAGCTGAAAATCAGTTTTATTCTGTAAAAAAGTATATTTAAATCAAAGAGTTTTATTTTAGTTTAGTTTATATTTAGTTTTCGCTATAGGGCACATATGCTCAACGTAAAGAAAGAGAGACAGGGAAAGTAAAAATTCACCCCCCCAGGAGGGTTAGCTACAGAGCACTGTCCCTTCTCCATTCTCCTCTTGGTATTTTGGGCACTCACGCACACACACCTGGCATGATTTTCAAGCTCCCAGGTCTGGGATTCAGACTACAGAATTGGCTATGTGGGATCCAACATCCTTACTGCCACACAACTCCCTGGACCTTAAAGAATTTTATTTTGCTCATCATGCTTCCTTTAGAACTTAAAATGGCAATACAGGTTCATCATTAAAAGAAAGAAATTCTGAATGGTGTTAAAATACATCAAGTGAAATTACCCTATTAGTGGTCAATATAAATATAGATCAATAGATTATTGTGTAGTCTTCCAAACTTTTTCCTGTGTATACAAACATGTAAGTTTTCTCCTTTCTCTTTATTACTTTTCTTTTTTTAAAAGAATTATTTATTTATTCGTGTATTATTATTTTTCAATTTGATCAGAGAGAGAGAGACAGAGAAAGGGAAAGCAAGAAAGCAAACTGCCAGGTCTGGCTCTCGAACTGTGGTCAGCCAGGTGGGATTCTAGTGCCCTTAACCACCACACTGTCGGCCAGCCCATCTTCATTACTTTTCACTTATTTTCTTTTCTTAAGCCACAAAAGAAATTATGTGATATTTTTCAGTTTTTTAAATTTAGCAATACAACATACCATCTTTGTTGTCAGTATACCTAGCTTTATTTTTGTGATGATTGCATGATAGTCCATAAGAGTAGGAATTCAGTATGTTTAGCTATTACTCTACTCATAGACATTTAAGTTTTGGGTTCCTTTTTCAATTTTTGTTACATACAAAGCTAAATAGAATCTTTCTGCATGTATCTTGACATGTGTTTGTAAATGTTTCTGAAAGATGTGTTAATGGCAGTGGAATAGCTGAGTATTCAACTCTCTTAAGCTTTCTCTTTTGGTCTGGTTTTTGCATTTGCTAGAACCTAGCATAAGTTAAGTGTCTGCATGAGGCCTAGACCATGGGACCTTTCTACCTTAGAGATGAGGATGTATTTCTAAAAACTTGAGAACTTATTTTCTAAAAGAGTAGGCAAAAGTTAAGATTAGAGTGATTTATAAGGCAATAAAGCATTCCTTACCTTCATTCACACACACACACACATATATGTATAATTTTTTTTCCCTAGACTAATAGTTTACTACTACCCTTTAGATATCAAGAGTTTTCCCATGTGCCTTGGCAATTAGTCTAGCCTGGTCCTTAAGAAGACAGTTGATAGTATAATTTCCTTAGGGATTTATGCTTTCAGGGTTCCATTAGTGGTAAATAATATCAAGTTTACTTTTGTAAATAGGCATCTTTTGAATAAGTCTAACATATATATAATATCAATCACATTTACTTTGTAGCAGATAATTTTATATTGAGCCAGGAAAGTCATTATTATTCATTTTTATTTAACTTGGATACTTTTTTTTTTTTTTTTTGGGAGAGATTTTCAATGTAGGGTGCATGCGCTCGCCAGACAGACAGAGAGAGACATAGAGACAGAAAGCGAGAAATCACCCCCCAGGGGGGATGGTCACACCGCAATCCCCTCTCCTCCATTCTCCTCTCGGGATCTTGGGCACGCACGCACACACGCCCGGCGTGAGTTTTAAGCCACCGGGTCTCCGGGACACGAACCACGGTCGACTACGTGGGAGTCCAGCGACATAGCCATTACGCTAACTGCAGGTTCCCTTAACTTGGAGACTTTTAAGTGAATAAATCTGAAGATTTTTGTATGTAAATTCCTAAGAATACAAAAACAACCGAGTGATTAATATAAATCTTTTTCATTTTTTAAATTGAAAAAAAATTTTTTTTAATTTGCTGCAGGACATGTGCACTCACCAGAGAATGAGAGAGAGAAAGAAAGTGAGAAGGCGTGCTGCCAGGTTCAGGGCTCATACTGTGGTCAGCCATGTAGGAGTACAGTGTCCCAACCACCACACCACTTGCTAGCCCCAATACTCTTTTTCTTAATAATTCTTCTGAGCTAGAAATTGGATATAAGTGGGTAAAAGAAGACTTCAGCTGCTAAGCATGAAAAAATATTATTAAAATGGTATCTCAAGAAGGACCTTCCCACGAAAGGATTGTGAAAGCAAAGTGCGGATTAATTCCAGAGTATGGAAATCCTCACGACATAGTTGGAAGATCTGCCAGTAAATTGTCATTGAGAACCTTCCATTTGCCAATACCATGCCTTACCTGGGGACATGACAGTGAATAAGACAAATAGCATCACTGCCCTATGACAAAAACCTAAAAAAAAAAAAAGGGAAAATTTTCATAAACATTCTTAATTCTTTTGTCTATACATTGTTCTGTAGAGTCAAAGAGACTACTAACCTCACCTCTAAGAAGTACAGAGGGTTTCCCAAAAGCAGTGTCTTCAGTGGTATGTCTGATGGATGAAAAAAATACATAGCAAGTAAATAAAGGCAGAGAGGACAGCAAGAGAGCATTTTACCTTTGAAGGTTTTTTTTCCCTCTTTTTTTTGTTATTGTTATAAGGCATGTGCACTCACCAGAACGACAGAGACAGACAGAGACAGAAAGCGAGAAATCACCTCCCAGGGGGGATGGCCACGTCACAATCACTTCTCCATTCTCCTCTCGGGATCTTGGGCACGCACGCACACATGCCTGGCGTGAATTTAAACCATCAGGTCTGGGACTCAAACCACAGTCGGCCACATGGGAGTCCAGCGACATAGCCATTGTGCCAACTGCTGGTCCCACCTTTGAAGTCTTAAAGTTTTGAAGTTCAGAATGAATGGTACAAAGTTGGAGAGGGGGCATTAGCACATGTAGAAAGAGTTACAAGTGTAATAAGCAGTCCACCTCATGGAAATCCTTGTAACCCATTTTAAAGATTTTGACTTTTCCCTAAAATAATTAGAAATTTGATGGTTAGAAGCCAAGGAGAATTGCAATTAACTAGATTTTAGAATGATTGCTCTGTGTGCCATTTAGGCGCAAGAATAAAAACCAGTATTCTGCTTAGAAAAGGATTTATTTCTGCTTCTTCATACTGGATTTTGCTGACTTTGCAAGGAACATTGCTTATGCATCTTGGTTTCGTAAAGTCTGTTGTAAAAGCAGTTCCTTCAGTTTTCGCCTGTGTTCTAGGAGTCCTTGGGAAACAATTAGGAGAATGGTCATAGTAGGGAAACAAAATTTGAAACAGATGTGTGTCTAGCCTGTCCCCTTTTCCAGAGACACTAACATTAACATCTTCCTTCTAGCAGTCCCGCACCTTACAAATTAATGCATGCAAAGTACTCGACCTATATGTCCCACTAATTTACCATCCATACATGCTTGAATTTCAGATTAAGTGTAAGGAGAAAGTTATATCTTCTTATGCCCACCTTTCCTGACAAAAGTATACTTAAAAGATACAAGCATATGCTGCTTAAACTTGATTCTCCAGTCCCAGCTGCAGTGGCATGTGCTGCTAAGATGCTGTGCTTCTCAGTTTGGGATCACATGGAAGGCCCAATTGTACTTCTAGTCCAAACTAAAGGCCAGGTGAAGTGGCATGCACCTATAATCCCAGTGACTGAGGAGGCTGAAGCAGGAAGATCAGGAATTTGGAAGCTAGTCTGGGCAACAGAGTTAGGCCCTGTCAAGAAAAAAAGATAGCCTGACAGGTAGTACATACTTGTAGTCGTACCTGAGAAACTGAGGCAGGAAGGTCTCAACACAGTGGGATCTTGTCTTAAAAAAAACTTACATTTTGGATCAGCATGGCATAATGGTTACATTGCTGGACTCCCATGTAGTCGACTGTGGTTTGGGTCCCAGACCCAAAGACTTAAAACTCATGCTGGGCACATGTGTGTATGTTCCTAGGTCCCAAGAGAAGAATGGAGGAGAAGGGATTGTAGCATGGCCATCCCCTGGAGTGTGATTTCTTGCTTTCTGTCTCTGTGTTTCTCTCTGTCTCTCCAGCGAGCTTACACACCCTATAGCAAAAACCTCTCTACCAAAAAAAAAAATAGTGGGGGCCGACAGATGGCATCGTGGCTAAAGGCTCTGGATTCCCACGTGGCCGACCATGGTTCGAGTCCTGGTCCTGGCGGCCTGCTTTCTCTCTCTCTCCCTCTGTCCCTCTCTGGTCAAATTGAAATAAACAAATTAATAAATAAAGTTAAAAATAAAGTAATTCTTTAAAAAAACAGTAATAAAGAAAAGCAAAAACTTTATACTCAAATGCATATCCATATGTCCCCCACTATCACTCCCGCTGTTTGGGTTCCTCCTTCCTTGTTGTTCCCCTTTTCCTGGTGTCTCTTTTTTCTCCTGTACATATGCATACAACCAGTTACACATTGTTTTAAAATGTAAATTAGTGGACCAGTCCCATAGCCTAGTGATTAAAGGAGCCAGATTCCATGTGACCAACCACGGTTCAATTCCTGGCCCCAGTGACTAGAAAAATATGCAAGGCACATGTGTGTACATGTCTAAAATCTTGACAGATGTCTCTCTGTCTTTGGAGAGCTACGCATACACCGTGTTAACTAAAAATAAAACAAAACAAAACGTAAGTCAATGATGGCATTAAGACCACAATTGAGCAGATTAAAGAAGGGAGAGAAATTGAAGCTTTATGAAACCAAAGAGATTATCAGATGAATGAGGGCATGAGTGGTTGGCAAAAAGTATCAGATGACTTTAAAATGCTGATACTTTTGGAAACATGAAGATTTTTTTTTTAATTTCCTGTAAGCTCAGAGACAAATGGAAAAGGAACAAAGCCAGAGATAGGCATTTGCCTTCTAGAAAATGATAAATATAGACAGAAAACAAGAGCAACTTATAAAATTACTTAAGTATTTTTAAAAACCAGAATGGATTATGTGTCAGACTATAATTTCCTTGGTGAGACATTTTAAAATAACTTTTTACTCCATTAAATACTTATTTATCAGAACTAGAATTTTGGGGGGCTAACCCTATGACCCAGTGGTTAAAGAAAGTGGATCCCACCTGACTGTCCATGTAATCTGAGTCCTGGACCCAGCAGCTTGAAAAATACACCAGATGCATGTGCATGTATGCCCAAAATCTTGACAGGATAGAAAAATGGAGAAGGAATGGCAGCATCACCTTACCCCACTGAGGGGTTACTCTCTCCCTCTCCTCTGTCTCTCTCACAAGTGCAAGAACCCTCTTGCAATTAAAAAAAGTACAGGGGTTAGGAGCCAGCTCCATGGTGTAATAGTAATATGTTGCTTAAGAGAAGCCAAATCCCACATGGAAACCATGGTTTGAATTCCTGGCCTGGTCATGTTTAAACACAGTAGACATGCTACAAAAGCCCAAGATCCAGTGGTTTGGGGGAAGGAGATCACAAGATAGCCAGACCCTGTGGAGAGTATCTATCTCTCTGTGTCTCCCTCTGTTTCTCTCTTATGCGTGCACACACACACATATCATTAATAAATGAAAACATATTTATGCAATGTGATTTTTTTTTTAAAAGAAGAAAAATAAAAGTTCAGGTGCTAGAATTAATTTCATGGACCATGAAGATATTTTCATGTAATAGATTAGAAAATTCTGATGTACAGGACCAGCAAATAGTGTAATGGTTGTGTCCAAAACTCCCACATAGTCAACCATGGTTCAAATTCCAGACCTGGCAGCTTAATACTCAAGCCGGGTGCTTGTGCATGTGTGCTGAAGATCCTGAGAGGAGAATGGAGGAAAAGGGATCACAGCACAGCCATTCTCCCCGGGGGGTGATTTCTCACTGTCTGTCTCTGTCTCTCTAGTGAGCACATATGCCCTATAGCAAAAATAAAAAAGAAAATCAAATGTACGTTATATATAGTTAGGGTAAATGTGTGAAGAGGTATATACTGGGGTCATAAAGTGAATTATATCTCTTACTATTGTTAGTAAGCCAAACTTGGAAAAACTGAGATGAATTGAGAATATACAGCAAAGAACAAAAATTAAAATAGAAGCTACCCATGCTCTCAGCACTCCGAAATAGCCATTAATGTTTTGGTATTTGGGGCCAGCAGATATGTAGCAGTTACGTCGCTGGACTCCCACGTGGTTGACCGCAGTTTGAGTCCTGGTCCTGGCAACTTAAAACTCACACCAGGCATGTGTGTGTGCATGCCCAAGATCCCAGGAGGAGAATGGAGGAGAAGGGATTGTGGGTGGCCATTCCCCCTGGGGGTGGGGGTCGTGATTTCTTGCTTTCTGTCTCTCTGTCTCTGTCTCTCCAGCAAGTGCACACACCCTATAGTAAAAATCTCTCTTCCCAAAAAAGAAAAAAAAAGTATTTGGGTATTTGCAGATCCCTTATGTTTCCTGTTTATTATACAGGTAGAACAAATTTATTTTAAACAGTTTCTGGCTTTGGTAGGCTAGAGTCGCCTTAACGTAGTTCTGTGTGACCATGTTTTTCATCATTTGGTTTTCACATGGAATTCTTATGTGTTGCTTTTTAAGTTTCTCTATGAACATTCATAGAGAATGTTCACAAATAAATTTAGGTGGCCTGGGGACCAGCAGATGGTGTAATGGTTACGTTGCTGGATTCCCACATAGTAGACCACAATTTGAGTCCTGTAGCTTAAACTTAAACTGGGCACATGTGCATGCATGCCTAAAATCCAGAAAGGAAATGGAGGAGAAGGGATTGCAGCAAAGCAGTCCCCCCAGGGGGTGATTTCTTGCTTTGTATCTCTCTCTCTCTCTCTGTCTCTTCAGCAAGCAAATGTGCCCTATAGCAAAAATATCTAAAAAAAAAAAAAAAAAAAAAAAAAAAAAAAAAAAAAAAAAAAAAAAAAAAAAAGTAGGTGGTCCGAGCTTTCTAATCCTCTAACAAATTGATAATTTATTAGAAGCTGTTCCTTTTTTAGGTGATTGTCCTTTACCCTATCCTTGTTAGTAATTTTAGGAAGGGTAGTTCAAGTTTTTAGTAATGTTATCAATAATGTTGTCTTTAGTAAATCATTGTTTTCCCCCAAGAATTATTTATTTTATTTTATTTGTTGTGGTGGTTATTATTTTAAAAATTAGACTAGCAAGAGAGAGAAAGGGAAAGTGAGAAAGCAAGCTACCAGTTCTGAGACTTTACCTATGGTTGGCCATGTGTGGGTCCAGTGCCCCAACTACCATGCCACCTGCCACCCCACTTTTTTTTTTTTTTTTTTTGAGAAATTTTTGCTATAGGATGTGTATGCTCACTGGAGAGAGAGGTAAAGAGAAAGTGAGAAATCCCCCAGAGTGTGGCCATGCTGCAGTCCCTTCTCAAGATTTTAGGCACACACTCACATGCCCAGCGTGACTTAAGCCGCTGGGCCTGAGCCTCAAAGCACAGTTTGTCATGTAAGAGTTCAGCCACCTTAGCATTTTAAAAATAGTATAGGAGACTTACAGCGAAAAATAGTCCATTGTCCTGTTCCTCCCTATCCTTTAATGCTGGTGATAAATTTCCCCAGTGTTGTAGTACGGAGTTCTGCTAATGTATTATTAAGAAAACATGTTAAGTAATCCACCAAAAATTCTTCGTCTATCCTGTTTTACATTTAATAAAATTTAAATGTATGTGAAGCTTGTATGTCTTGAAGTCTGAGAACTTGTTCTCCAGTACAGTTGCTATAGAACTTTCTTTTTTTAATGGTTAAAAAGTAAAATGTATTATAGCCATATCTGACTCCCAAATTGTAATTCAGGTTCAGCTCTCATTTCATTTATATCATTCATTCTCATTCATTTGGAATTATGAAAGACCCCCTAGTCTGTAGGAGCCAATCTTGGATATTTGTTGGGAAAAGAGAGTGATATTTCAATTAGGTAACCATTATACTTTGGAACAACAGTTCTAGGGATTCTGATACTGTCAGCTGTTTGTAAATTACATTTATATTTTCCCTCCTCCTTCTATTCATCCTTCCTCTTTGCCTCTCTATCCCCTCCTTTGGCCCTGTCACTCTCTTATATCATCCCTTTTACCCTCTTTCTGAGGAAATTACTAATAATTTTTAGTGGTATCTGTTTTAAGCTCTTTAAGTGGTTATTTTCATATTATTACATACTATCTTTCAGCCACCGTTTCTTGCTTTATCAACTTCAGACGTCATAATGCTGATTACTTCCTCTACAAAGAATTTGCTCTTTTGTAGCCTTATAGCCCTTTTCCTCTTCTCTCCCATTGTTGTTATTTGGGAGAAGGTAGTCCCTGTTAAATACTTTTGTAACTTTAAATAATATATAAGTGTATTCTTTTGTTCCTTATTTCATTAACACCAGTCAGCATTCCTTAACACCCTTCTTTATACAATAATTAATTTATGGGTTTTGGGGGGTTTTTTTGGAGAGAGATTTTTGTTATGGGGCACATGTGCTTGCTGGAAAGACAGGGAGAGACAGAAAAGACAGAAAGTGAGAAATCACCCCCCAGGGGGGATTGCCATACACCACAATCCCTTCTCCTCCAGTCTCCTCTCTGGATTTCGGCACACATAGCGCCTGGTGTGAGTTTTAAGCCACTGGTCCAGGACTCAAACCTTGTTCTACTACGTGGGAGTCCAGCAACGTAACCATTACGTTATCTCCTGGTCCCAATTTATATTCTGTTTTCACTCTATTCCCTCCCATTTTCATCTCCACTTTTACATTTATATTGTCAGGCGTGCCAGTCTTTTGTTTCTCACCTTCTTTACTTCTGAATTTTAAAAAGAATTACTTAATTTTATTTATTATCATTGTCATTATTATTTATTTCTCTTTTTTTAGAGAGATTTTTCCTATTGGGCATGTATGCTTGCCAGACAGACAGAGAGAAAAAGCAAGAAATCACCCCCTAGGGGGGATGATCATGCTGCAGTCCCTTCTCCTCCATTCTCCTCTTGGGATTTTGGCCATGCCCAGTGTGAGTTTTAAGCCACCGGGTCCGGACTTGAACCATGGTTGACTACGTGGAAACCCAGTGACATAACCATTATGTCATTACTATTATTTTTAATTTGATGAAAGAGAAAGGGAAAACAAGAAAGTAAGCCACCAAGTCCAGACTTGAACCGTGATCAGCCATGTGGGAGTCTGGCACCTTAACCACTACGCCACCTGCCAACCCTTACTTCGGAGTTTTAAAATTGTATTTGGGGTGGGAGATAACTATATGTAGACTATCTACTGTCTTGAACTCCCACCTTTTTATTTTAGTGTCTTAATATATGAATTTTCATGATATAAATATATTGAACATTTCTTATGTTAAACAAGAGAGTGAATATGTTGATTTATAAAAAGATACTTATGAGTTTTTGAATCTTCTGTGATTTTTTTTTACTTTGCAGGTACGGAAAACTTTTTTCACCTTAGCGTTTTGTGACTTTTGTCGAAAGCTGCTTTTCCAGGGTTTCCGCTGTCAAACATGTGGTTATAAATTTCACCAGCGTTGTAGTACAGAGGTTCCACTGATGTGTGTTAATTATGACCAACTTGAGTGAGTAATCCAAAAAAACTCTACTACTTTACATTTAAATCTTAATAATGTGAAGTTAATATGTCTTAAAGTCTTTGAAGAGTTTTCTGTCCAGCAGTTGATAGAGACTTTTTAAAAAGTGTGCTGAGAGGCCAAGTAGCAGTAGTATGCACTGTTAAAATACTGCTGCTCCATAGCCTGAGGCTACATGGACAGCCTGGGTTTATTCTTGGTGCTGTGGCACTCAGTTGTAATCCCAGCTACTAGGAAATTGAGGCAGGCAGAAGAATTGCTTGAGTTCGGCCTGGGTAACATAGTGTGACCTGTCTAAAAGAGTTGGGTGTAATGGTTGCAGCTACTCCATAGGTTATAGTGGGAGGATAATGACAAAGCAAGGTACCAACTTTAAAAAAAATATGGTTACAATAATGCATAGTATAGCCAGCACTTCTTTCCCATATTGTAATTCTGGGTCAGCTATACATTTAGTTTATATTTTATATTGTCGCTTAATTAGTGAAGAATCCCTAATCCACTTTTAGAATTACTTTCTAATAGTTATTGGGAGGAGAGAAGAAGTGTTTCAGTTAAGTGACCAGTATGTATCTGGACCACAGATCAGAGGGTCTGATTCTATCATCTCTTTTGTAAATTATGTTTATATTCTCTGCCCCCCCCATCTTTTTTTTTTCATCCCATTTCAATCCCCCCTTCCCTCAATTTCTCTTGAGAGTAAGATGGAAAATCTTTCTACACAGTATATCTTTTCTAAAACTTCTTGCTTTATCAAGGATTTTTCTAATAGTTTCAACTAAGTATTGTAATCTCTTTTCATGTTGTTGCTGCTTCTATTAAGGTCTTATATTTTTCTTGATCACTTGAGTAAACAGAATTTAGCTCTATGTACTATAAAGTAAATTATAGTGACATCATCGTAATTTAGCAGTGGATACACTTTTAACTCCTTAACCATTAATCATTATTTTCTCCATCTAACATGTAGAAATTTACTGTGACAACAATTGTTTTAGATTCCGAGTTTGCCTTTAAAGGCGCAATATGATTATTTAAAATAAATCTTAGACAAAGATACAACTATTTGAATTTTAACAGTTTGTAAAAATGGAATTTGGTTCCCAGATTTTTCTGTTAAGTATGTATCCTGGCATGTGAAGTGTCTGGGTTTTGCACAAGTTAGGTTTGTTTTGTTTTGTTTTGTTTTTACCTCACAGTTTGCTGTTTGTCTCCAAGTTCTTTGAACACCACCCAATACCACAGGAAGAGACCTCCTTGGCAGAGACTGCCCTTACATCTGGAGCATCCCCTTCTGCACCTCCCTCAGACTCTCTTGGGTATGATTCGACTCCTGCTGTTCAGCGATGTCCTGTTTTAACTGCTTTCTTTTGGATTTGGTTGATTGTAACCCTGTCTAACATTTGAATTGGTAAAGACTTTTTTATTTTCATATGATTTATTTTATTTACACTAGTCAGATATTTACATGCATTTTGTACAGAAAAATGAATTAAAACTAACAGACTATTTCAGGATTAGTCCTGAAAAAAATCAAGGCACAGATAATTTTGAGTCCCTATCTGTATTATCACTTTATTAGTTAAAATTAGACACATGGAATTATATGGTTTCCACTTATTAAGTAGCATTAATTTATGAGATAATGGCAAATAATTCAAAACTAGTATACAATTATAATATAGCATTTATAGGGACCAGCAGTTAGCGTAATGGCTATGTCACTGGACTCCATGTAGTCAACTGTGGTTCAAGTCCCAGACCTGACGACTTAAACTCATGCTGGGTGCATGTACGTGTGTGCCCAAGATCCTGAGAGGAGAATGGAGGAGAAGGGATCGCAGCGTGGCCATCCCCCCTGCAGGGTGATTTCTCACTTTCTGTCTCTCTGTCTCTGTCTTTCTGACGAGCGCACATGCCCTGTAGAAAAAACCTCTCCAAAACAAAATATATATATAGCATTTATGATGGAGTATATTAAACTATGACATAAGGGCATAAATGTTTTCATTTGTATAGGAGAAGGGAGAATAATGAAAGAGTGCTCAGGAAAACTTAATGAATAAGGTGGCATTTGGACTGGACCTTAAAGAATTACTAGACTCTGGGACCAGCAGATGACGTAATGACTATGTCGCTGGACTCCCATGTAGTCGACCACGGTTCGAGTCCTGGACCTGGTGGCTTAAACTCACACTGGGTGCATGTGCGTGCGTGCCCAAGATCCTGAGAGGAGAAGGGATTGCAGCATGGCCATCACCCCGGGGAGTGATTTCTCACTTTCTCTCTCTCTGTCTCTCTCTGTCTTTCTGGTGAGTGCACACACCCTATAGCAAAAAATCCTCTCCAAAAAAAAAAAAAAAAAAGAATTACTAGACTCTGAATGAGCCCTGGAAATAAAAGCATGGTGATGAGGGATGGAGAAATAGCATAAATAAAGGGAATGAGGATGGTAGGGTTGGGAGTTAGTTAAGAAAGTCTTATCTAAATTGAGAAATACCATGTATAACAAACACCAGATTATGGAGAGTCTTACCATTCATACTGGAATTTAGCCATTATACAAGAGAGGAAAAGAATGAAAGGTTTTCGAGCAGATTACTAACCTAATAAAATTGACTTCCAGTGAAGACTGCCTTAGCAGTGGAAATCAAATGGGTCGATAGAGAAAAATCTGTGGTGAAAAGGCCAACTGTTAGCCGTGAAGACTTACACTAAAGTGGTGGTAGTGAGGAAAAGAGATGGATATTCACAAAATGTAAGGACAAATAGTATTAATCAATTGTGAAGATTAAAACAGAAAAATATCTTTTAAAACAATGAGAAACCATCATATATTAAAGCTTCAAAGTAGGAAAAAAGGATAATGATGAGTTAAGCGAATATTAATTGACGTTGGAACATTTCTTTACAAAATTTGTTTACTTTTTCCCAATTAGATTTGAAGCATCATTTTTTAATGCTATGTCTAGAAACATAAAGTTCAAAATACAGACTTTTAAAAAGTCTTCATCAGCATTCTGTTCTAGATTATTCCAGAGATACCTAGTTAAGATCAGAAATATTTACTGTGGGGACCACCAAGTGGTATAGTGGCTAAGGCTCAGGACTCCCACATGGATGACTGCAATTCGAGCCGTAGGTCCCAGCAATTTGAAAATCATGCAGGGCAGTGTGCGTGAATGCCCAAAAGCTTGAGAGAAGAATGGGGATGAGAAGAGATTGCAATGTGGCCATCACCCCGGGAGAGTGATTTCTCACTTTCTTCCTCTCTCTCTCTCTCTCTCTCTCTCTCTCTCTCTCTCTCTCTGTCTCTGGTGAGTGCACTTGCCCTATGGTAAAAACCTTAAAAATAAAAAAGAAAAAGAAAAAGAAAGAAATAATTACTCAGTTTTTTGCTTTTGTTTTGTTTTTGCCATAGGGTGTGTGACTCACTAGAAAGAAACAGAGAGAGGGAAAGTGAGAAATCACTTCGATGGGAGAATGACCACACTAAAATCCCTTCTCCTCCAATATCTCGGGATTTGGGGCATTCATGCACATGTGCCGTAGGTGAGTTTCAAGCTACGGGGATTAATTAGGCTAGCAGCTGGCTATGTGGGAGTCCAACATCTTCACCACCGTGCCACCAACTGGCCCCATTCTGTCAGTTTTAACTCTACTTTCTTGGACTTTTCAAAGTGTATTTCTGTCTTTAGGTTTCTACTTAAAGGGGGGGAAAAAAGCTGAGATTTCCAGTAGACCTGTAATATTTAAAAAACCAACCTTTCTTGAAGTCTCAAGTTAGAAAATTTAGCAAAAGAACTTTTTAGGAGCAGGTGAATTTATCTATTTGAAGCACTGGGAAATGGAGCCACTGAGTTCTTTTATCAGGATGTATCATTTATCATCATTTTCTTCCTGTTTGCTCCATCATTAGTTGTATACAGCTGTGTATTTTATAGACAAATCAGAATGTTGTTCTTTGTTTGGGTTTTTAATTAATCCTTCAGTTACTACATTTTCTCCTGACAGATTTTGTAGACCATTATGCATTTCTAATAACAGGTCCTAGTTTTTTTTTTTTTTTTTTTTTTAGGAGGATTTTGCTTTAGGGCGCATGCACTCGCCAGAGAGACAGAAAGCAAGAAATCACCCCCTGGGGGGATGGCCACGCCACAATCCCTTCTCCTCCATTCTCCTCCCAAGATCTTGGGCACGCATGCACACGTGCCTGGCGTGAGTTTTAAGCCACTGGGTCTGGGACGCGAACCGTGGTCGACTACATGGGAGTCCAGCGACATAGCCATTACGCTAACTGCTGGTCCATAGCAGGTCCTAGTTCTGTGAGCAGAGTTACAGAATACCGTAATGAAATTAGCTCAGCCTCTTTGCAGGTTTCTAAGGGTAATGATCTGGGACATTGGCCTTTCAGGGAGGGAATACTGCCTTAAATTAAGAAACCACTTGCCTTTGCCATTAATATGTTATTCATAACTAAACTGAAATAGATCTTGGTCTTGAGCAAATGCTAAGATGTTCATAAAATTTTCTATAAATAATTTCCCTGATACTCTGATGTCACAAGTGCATAAAGACAGAAGACAATCTCGTTCAATATCAAAACTCCTTTGCATTTTGTTACTAGTCTTGGTAACAGTTATGATGTAACAAAACAAGTATTGGGTTGTTGGGAAAGTCATGATGCATTTTTGCATAGAAAAATAATGTCATTACTTTCCTGACAACCTAATAATGGATATAACCAAGAAACATTAGAGAACTGATAACATTGCCTGGTTTTGAATACAAAATGACAGATAACTTCCTTTACTACTTTTTAAAAATGTTATAGGATGTGTAGATTTATGAAAGGTATGACATTTAAAATCTGCTAATCACAGGGACCAGCAGTTAACATAATGGCTATGTCGCTGGACTCCCATGTAATCAACCACAGTTCGAGTCCCGGACCCAGTGGCTTAAACTCACACCAGGTGCATGTGCGTGCGTGCCCAAGATCCCGAGAGCAGAATGGAGAAGGGATTGCGGCGTGACCATCTCCCCTGGGGGGGGTGATTTCTCGCTTTCTGTCTCTCTGTCTGCCTCTCTTGCCTGCCAGCCCACATGCCCTACAGCAAAAACCTCTCAAAAAAAAAAATCTGCTAATCACTGAACAGAAGTAGTCACTTTGCTTCACAAGACTTAAATATTCTAGACTGCACATGAAATGTAAACTAACTGGTAATTCACTAATGGTACTGCCTTAATTTGCTATTTTGGTACTACCTTGAAGAGATTTGCAGCAGGGTAGGTAAAGATTTCATCAAGAGAAAAGCCAGTTTGCCAATTGCCAGGATATTCCATAGTGTACAAATTACGTTTGTCCAGGTAAAAAAATTCATAATATATAAACTCAATTTTATCAGTTTCTAGAATTGATAATTAGAGATATACTAGTGTACATCAACCAGAATCAGAAAATACTATATCAGAATGCCAGATAATTCATTTCAGTGAGAAATATACCTGTTGTGTAAACCAGGATTCTTGTGTTAGATGGACCAGCACTACTTTTGGAAAGTATCTATGGGCTACCAAATTATTGAGTCATCAGAAAAGTCATGAAGTGGGACCAGGAGTTGGCATAATGGCTATGTCTCTGGACTCCCATGTAGTTGACCATGGTTCCAATCCCCGGCTTAAACTCAGACCGGGCACGTGTGCGTGTGTGCCCAAGATCCCACGAGGAGAATGGAGGAGAAGGGATTATGGCATGGCCATCCCCCTGGGAGGTGATTTCTCACTTTCTGTCTCTCTGTCGAAGATGAAGAAAATAAAAGTCATGATATATTTTCCTGTGTTTTTCTATGCAAAAATGCTTCATGACTTTTCCAGTGACCCAGTATAGTCAGAAGATTGTTTTTGTTAAGCATAGAATTAGGACATGATTTAGATATTTAATGACATCAAGGTATGATAACTTGATGTATTTTCCAAAATTATACACTGTCCCTCAAGCCTAGACTAGTTGACTTTGTGATCAAAAAACTCCTTCCCTCCAGGTGCTATTAGATACTAACTGCCAAACTTAGGCTCTGATTTTCTATAATAGGCAAATATCCTCACTTTCTAATATATGTTGTTTTTTTCAGATATAATGAAACCGAAAATGCATACAAAGGAGGGTCCATCAAAAAGTTTTAGGAAGGAACCAGCAGGTGGCATGGTGGTTAAGGGCACTGGACTCCCACTTGGCCAACCACAGTTCAAGTCCCAGACGGGCGACTTGCTTTCTTACTGCCTACCCTCCTCTGGTCAAATCAAAATAAAGAAAATTAAATTAAATAATTAAAAAAAAAGTTTTAGGGAAATATCTGTTGTGACAGGACTGTGCATGAATTCTGGTTCTTTTGCACCCACATAAATACATATTTTAATTCCATTTTTCCACAAACTTTTTGAAGTATCCTTATTCAAGTCCAGAAAAACGCAGTGTTTTTCCTCAACTTTCACTCACAGTGCAGATTACCTCTGTGCTCCCAAAATATATAGAGATTTCTTCCCACTAGCAAGAAGTCAGTTCTGTAGTGGACACCAGCTGAGTGTCCTCTTATCCACTATTGGCCTGGAGATAGCATTGGATCCCACAGATTGGGGTCTTAGTCCCCCCAAGACTGCTCCCACCCAATGCACATACATGGTTTAGACAGCAGTTACAAGTCCAGGCCTCCTGAACTTCTGACCTAGCTACAAGTTGGGGTTTCCACAAACCCTTTCCCTCCTCAGTTTCAAATTATTTGCTAGAGAAGCTCTCGACCTCAGAGAAGCACTTGCTTTCAGTTTTCTATTTTTTATAAAAGATATTGCAAAGGATACAGATGAAGGAATGTATAGAGGAAGACATGTGAGACGGGGCCACAGAGATTTTTATGCCCTCTCTGGGCCCATCTCCTTCCCGAAACCTCCATATAGTCAGCTAAATGGGCTTTCTCTTAAACCTGTTCCTTTGAATTTTTGTGAAAATTTTGTTGCACAGGCATGAGATGTCAGTAGACTGCGTGGGAAACCCAGCAAGACCTGTCCAGATTCTTGGCTTCTCTGTAGCATTCCTTCCACCTTGGTTATAGGGCCAGGGCCCTTCTGGAAGGAGGTTCTTGAAAGTGAGGGACAATTGGAATTTCATCCTCCCTTGGGATAGATGAAAGAAGGGACAGACTTTCATCTTTATCTTTCTCAGGCTGTTCCGAAGCTGCTTTTAGAACCAAGGACAAAAGTCCAGCTACTTATGGGCCAGGACCAAGTAGATGAAAATCAAAATATATTTATTATAATACCTTACCTCATCTGTCTGATTGTTATCTACTACCTATTGCTGTCATAATCCTAACTCGGTAAGTTTTAGGAATGACTTACTGCCACCTCTTCCTGTACCAGGTCAGTTGTTATGTTAGACAGTGCTGTACAGCTCTAGTTAAGTCAGGCTTTTTACAATTTCAAGTCCAGAATGCTGTTGCTGAGGCCAGCAGGTTTAAGGCATAGTGGTTTAAGCCCTGGGTTCTCCAGATGGCCTTCCACAGTTTGAGTCTCAGACCAGCAGCTTGAAACTCAGGCCGAGCACATGTGTGTGTGTGTGCCAAAATCCAAAGAGGAGAATGGAGAAGGGATTGTGGCGTGGCCATCCCCTCTGGGGGGTGATTTCTTACTTTTTGTCTGTCTCATGCATGCACATACCCTATAGCAAAAATTTCTCTTAAAAAAAAATGTATGCTATTGCCTTGAGATTTTAAATCAGCCTTTAAGTAATTTTTTTAAGTTAGTGAATATTCTAAAACTTTTTAAAAAAACTAATATAGTTACACACTTTTATCTGCTTAGAAAAAGAAATGGCAGATTTTATTCAGTCATTGTCTACCTAGAGCACTTTTGTATAAATTAAAAGGACAAGAGCTTCTTCAGCTCATTAACTATAGGTAATTTCTAGCCATTTATAGATTCCTCTGGATTTTCTGACTAAGAGTCAGTGTTCTTATCATTGATAAGAGAGTGCATAGAGGGTCTACAGCTTTGGCAATATTAGTTGTAGGTAAATGTTAATTCTGTAAACGAACACTTTTTTAATTCATTACTCTGGGTTTTTAATGCCTTATTGTAAAGATCTTAAGAATATAAATACAAGGAAATCCTTATATCTTCCATTTTTAAATATATATATATTTTTTTTGGAGAGGTTTTCACTATAGGGTGCGTGAGCTCGCCAGACAGACAGAGACATAGAGACAGAAAGTGAAAAATCACCCCCCAGGGGGGGATAGTCACGCCGCAATCCCTTCTCCTCCCTTCTCTCGAGATCTTGGGCATGCACGCACATGCACCCGGCATGAGTTTTAAGCCACCGGGTCCGGGACGCGAACCGCGGTCGACTACGTGGGAGTCCAGCGACATATCCATTACGCTAACTGCTGGTTCCCCATTTTTAAATATTATTATCTCTGTATAGTTGCTGTGAATCTCATCTTCCAATGACTTGATTCTTTCAGGCCCCAAATTCTTACCAGTCCGTCTCCTTCAAAATCCATTCCAATCCCACAGCCCTTCCGACCAGCAGATGAAGATCATCGAAATCAATTTGGGCAACGAGACCGATCCTCATCAGCTCCCAACGTGCATATAAATACAATAGAACCTGTCAATATTGAAGTAAGTACCCAGCATCACTAGCACTAAAAAAAGTTGAAGTATATTTTTATTCCTGCTATAGCTGTAATATAGATCAGAAATAAATGCAATCTTTTATTTATCACAGTTATTTTAAGGGTTAAGCCTTTTGTGACTCAGATCAGAAAGGCTTGTCATCTTTTCTGATGACACTACATACTTTACTGATCCCACATGATAGAGTTATTCTGTTTGTGTTTTTTTTTTTTTTTTTTTCATATGCTACCATCTCTGTAAAAGTCTTATCTTCAGATGTAAATATGGTTGAAATATCAAAGGATTGATAGAGGCCATTGGGGGAATGGATGAAATCCTCTAAAATTTTTATAAAAAGAATTATGATTGTACTATTAAAGATGGATTTGAAATCAAGAATTCTACTTCGTACTATTGTAAATTTGGCATAGTGACCAATTAAAAGCTTGAGTTTTTCTTTGTGTATTTTTTAAATTAGCATATAGTTGGAACTTTAGCTTAAAATGTATTAAATATAAAAGAAAAAAATTATTATAAGTTTTAATTTTTCAAGATAATTTTCAAAATCAGACTTTTTCCCATTTTTTCCTACTGTAGTTGTCCCTCCACATACACAGAGGATAGGTTCCAAAATACCCCACACATATGCTTCCCCTCCCCCCATAGGTAATTCAAGTCCCTATATAAAATGGCACCTCTTTGCACATAATCTCTGTATATCCTCCTGTATACTTTAAATCATCTCTGGATTACTTGCAATCCCTAATACAGCACAGATGTTATGTGAATAGTTGGTACCTTGTATTATTTAGAAAATAACGACAAAGAAAAAGTCTATATATTTTCAGTATAGATGCCGCCATCTTAGGCTTAACCTCATAGTTCAGGTCAGCAATAACAGAACATTTGTGATGTGGGCCAGTTAAAGCTGTGACTACATAGGGCCAACTGAATCAGCATTCTCTTCACCTGATAAGGTCTTCCTCCACCTGTCGAGTTAGACCCAAATATAAAGGAAGAAAGAAGTAGGAAAGGGAAGTAATGGAAATGAGGAAACTAAAGTATGAGATCCAACTACATTTCTAGGTTTTATTGTAAAATGCGAAATCAAATCATAGTTCTATATTTTGGACTATATGTCCAAAATTTTAACTTTTATCTTTACTTTCAAAACTAACATCCTTTTAGGCTATTTCCCTTTTTGTCCTATTGTTACCACCATTTTCCTAGTTTCTTGGGCTTGAACATTTAGAATATTATCTGCATATCTTGCCTTTTCATCCTTCCCATAACCAATAATAAAATTTCACCTTTTCCTCTGTACTTCTCATATAGGCCTGGATATCTTCACTTGAACTGCTTAATACATTAATTTCCTAAATAGATTTCCTGCCATTGATAGCTCTCTATTCATTTCCATTCTTTATGCCACCATCAAAATAATTTTTTAAAAGAGGTTTTTGCCTTATGGCACATGTGCTCCCTGTAGAGAGACAGAGACAGTGGTAGGGGAAGTGAG